ACCCTGGGTTATTTTAGGATTGACGATCCATTAATCTGGGGCAGTCTTCCGTTAAGGGTTTTTTCAAGTCGCGATAGGCTTCGTTGGGCACTTGGCGCTCAAGAAATATGTTTCACCACACCGTGAGCAAATTATTATTACATAATTTCATTGTAAATCACGGTTGCTTACGGTTCTTTGTCATCAACTTCACGTCATTCATAGTTTCCTTTCCGGATTTTTTGCTCTTGGTCAGGTAGTACCAATAGTGAGAGGCGCAGGCGTATTTCAACCAGCAATGAATTTTGCTATAGATAGGTTAAACGAAGGAAAATGGGTATATACATCACTTATCGATCATTTTCATTCTTTCCATTAACACTTTGTTAATTCAAGGTTCACATTTTCCCGGAAGGAAGGGTCAATCCAAAGATGGACCTGCTTAAGTTCAAATGGGGAGTTGGTCGTTTGATGATGGAATCGACAAATCCACCGATAGTTGTTCCGTTGTGTTTTAAAGGTTTGCCTTGTTCTTTGGTTCAATTAATCCTGGGAATTGTGATTTCTATCTTAAAGTTGTTTTCCTCCCGTGAGTTAGGTCCCGAAGAAATAATGCCGGAAAAAAGGGTAAATAATTGTTGGATACCCGTCCTTGGAAAGGAGGTCGTAATTACTTACGGAAAGCCTATTGATCTTAATGATACGCTGAAAAGTCATTATGAGAAACAGGCTGAAGAGATTGTGACACGGATCGCAATCACCGACAGAATTTTTCGTGCGATAAGCGAACTGCAAAAAAAAGATCAAACATTCGAGAATAAGGGTCCATGAAATTTATTTATTATTACATTGTGTAAAATATTAGTTTAGAAAAAACTTTCATTATAAAATTTAAATCTTGAATTATTCTTAATTTAATTATATAAATTTAATAAAGAATGTAATTTAGAATAATATTAATATTTCTTAAATCCATAAAATTATTTAAAACTTTCATAATTTTAACTCAGGAAAACTGATTTTTTTTTAATATTTAAATTTTAATATAAAATTTTCACTTATCTCCAAGTAAATATTATGGAATTTAATTGATAGTAAAATAAAATCATTCTATATCATCACATTTTTGTCAAATAATTAAAAAATAATTAAGATTTAGAATTTATAATAAATTACCATAAAAAAATTCTTTTTATAATACCTTAAGATCTGTAAACATTATTAAACAAAATTTAGATTTGGGTGACGTGTTCAGTACATTAATTTACTTGTGTTGAAGTAGCGAGTGAAATGGTTCGTGTAAATGGAGAGTTTTCACAGGGAGACGGATTCCTCATTCTATGCGTTTAATAATGTCATATGAGTTTTATTGGTGTATTCCATTTGTTGAGTTTTTTTAGGGAATAAGGAAAAAAAAAAAGCCAATAATGCTAATAGTCATCGTCTTCCAACTAAGGACAGTAACCTAACACCATATCTTGTAACCATCATAACCTCGCTGGCTTCTCGCAGTGCTTCTCCGGTGAGGGAGCAATACGAAGATACACCAAGTTTTTTCAATGTTTCCTTTTTAATCGCATATTGAGTAAGATATTCCAAATGAGCATCAACAAGATTTATGTGATTTGTAAGATATAGTTCTTTGATGGGAGCTTTGCATTTTTCTAAAAATGCTTGCAGAGCTTCAGGCGTGAACTCCCAAGGGATTTCCAGGCTCCA